AGCTTCAAGCTTTCAGGATATCTCTTGACCCTCTGATCAGTTTTTTCATTTCACTTTGAACTAACCTTAAGAGTAGGATAATATTTCTTGAACCGAGAGAACTTATAGTGAAAGCTCTAAACAAATTTAGTAAGTGTTTTGGGATCGGGGCGTTGACGAAGCTCGGCAAGATTAGAAGTTCCTATTCGGCCTTATAGTTACTGGAAAATGGCACCTGTAGTCATTGCTACGAGATATCGAAATTTGATTCGAGATAAGTGAAAAGCGGTATTCCTTATTTAATGGTACCAGAGCAGTGAACGCCATAACCTGTTAAACATGCCCTGCGCCGCAGGTGGCGGTTGTTCATTTCTCGACAAATCAATCCTCTATCCGCGGGCACAAATCAATCCGCCGACCTTCGGAAATATACTGAGAACTCCAATCTACTCCAGTATGCTGAGAAGTTCCAGTCCAATAAGGTTCATGTAGCTCTCTGGGGCGTCTGCACTTGTCAGCGGGTAAACATATTGCCAACCTGTAGGTTCAAACGCGCAAACATAGTCTTAGGTAATTTCCTTGTAGTATGTTTTCCCTTCGTCGTGGCACGACACATAATAGTGAAAGCAATCTTCTATGCTGCGCCTTTCTATACATTTGCTGAAAGCGTAGCCAGCATGAACATCCTCATTATCACCACTACCATCATTGCAATCAAAAGAGATAAGGTCATTAGATGGCTTTTTCAAGGTTCTCAAATGGTTATCCAAGTGATTATATAAATACTGCTGTAGCCTGCTAGTTATATAGAAAGTCAAACGAGTCATTGTTGGCTGTATAACCATTTTCCTCAATAGAAAAATATAACACTGATATATTTCCCTCTGGGATGCAGATATGCTCAAACAACGGGCTCAGATTCATAGACGCTAATATTCGCTGCTAGATCAGAATAAGAAAAGTCAGATTATATTCAGCCCGCCAAAAACGACTATTAAATAAACCAATTAATGATAATTTCTCAAACATTTAAAAACATGTAGTTAATGTTCAATTTGCAGGAATTCTTTTCAGTTGTTGTTTCATGTACTAGAACCAATATGACTAATAGCAAAAGTGGCGCAGTCTTTGGAGCGTACCGAGGAACACCCGCTACTGCTGCGAAAATACGGGTAATCACATTGTCTCATGCTTAACTTGTAGCATTGATTCTACTGCACGCTAGCATCAATGGAAACTCGCATTTCGCAATCGCACTTCAATCGAAAACCACAACGGTGCCCTTGTGTTAAACTTCGGCATATACAGCCCTGACGAATCAATTTGTTAAAAGATTCCTCAAGAGTCTAAAACGTATTCTAGGTCTTACTGGGAAACTTTTTGGACGTTAGGTACGCTCGTCTCTGAATCCGATTGTCACAAACTTCAGTTTTGCTCAACTTAGATCCTTCGCATTAGCCCTTGTGTTCTTTGAAATCCTACAAGCGAAGAGATAAATAACTTTATTATCCAGTGCGCTAGTTTCTAACGCGAAGACATTCTATAATCAGGGTCTTGCAATTATACTCCAGAACGACTTAAGCAACCTAGCCAGTTGAAACAATAGTCTTGCTGTCGATAGACAAGGCTTACCTAATCATCGTATAGCTTTCGAATGATGCCATATGGCATGGATGGCAACTGCAGGAATCCTGTTGATTTACTCAGTACATTCTTTTAAATAGATATCTATTGACACAAAGAGAGTTCGGTCTTACGAAACGCGCGTTTCAAGTCAGATGAATACTTGTTACGGGTTCGACATCAAATTTGGTTCAATGCCAAGTTTAGACCCTAACATATTTATACATGGCAGCCTAGCTGTCTACATATGGTTTTATATGAAATGAGATATAACATTATGTGTCGGGAAGAGATCGTGGTTTTTGGTTTAGTGCTTCCTCTTTTCATTCCAGTGTGCATTTTTCATATCTGATAGCCTGGCATGGCAGATAGAAAGTGTTATACAGTTTTCATTGAAAGCCTTATACTTGTTCGTTCAGCTTTTTATCATATCATAAAAATAATTATCGAAAGAATCTGAAGCAGGCGTGACGTGTACGCCAACGGTTCGTTAGTTGAACGTACGACTCAAAGGTGGATTGGTAAGTAGAAAAATGGTACCTTCGATCTAAATAATTCACTCCTTAACCATACGAATCCGTCCAATATGGTCTTGAGCTTCCTTTAAAGGAGTATAATTGGTTCACAACCTGCATGCCTCAAGATACGCAGAGAAAAATACCTGTTAACAAAGGAAAAGTCAAGGAAGGAAAACAATATGAAAAACCGCCATTAGTTTTCGAGCTTTTTTTTATTTACTGCGTGGTGAGATAACATTGCTTTTCACGCAAATTTCTAATCCTTTATTGCTTTTTTCGATATCAAAGCTTCGTAGTATTCATTCCTTACTTTGGCAACAAACTCATTGAACGCATGTTCAACTTTAAGATTAAAGCGTGACAAAGACGCACCTCATTTCGCGAAAACATCATACCAAAGACCTCCTTGCATGTTTATTTGGAGTACTACCTTTAACCCATCGTAAATGTAGATCCTTCTGACCACTTCTCTCGCGGCCGTTAGGAGTAGTGGCTACTAACTTCAGTTCTAATTCAATTTTATTCTTTTGAGAAAGTCTAGTTGCTATTTAATCTGTCGCAGCATTTTATTCACACAAAGTTTGCGTCGCCAATTGGTAGCACTGTGATATTCTTACGCTTGTTGGGGTCTCCTTCGAATATCTCATTTACCAATGGTAAACCTTGCCCGGACAGGTCTAACTTAGCGCAAATGTCAAAATAAAATAAAAGCGTTTTAACTATAAAGTATTAATACGTTGCAACTGTAAAAAGCTTCTATATTGTATGCGTGAAGTGGACAGATAGCTGTTGTGCTTATATAGATGGCCTATTTTGAATCTTCATATAGAAATATCATCTTTCGTCTCTTTTTTCGAAAAACAAGGGTCGGATGTTACAAGCGTCCGATATCGATGGTGCATGACTTAGTTAATGCTGCAATTAACAAAATGATTAAAACGTAAATTTCGTCAGTTTAAACGTAAAGAATGCTCTTTTTAACGTCCTTATGTGTTTTTTAAAACAAAATATAAAAATATTAATTTTTAACCTTCGATCAACATTGTAGTTTTCCTTGATTGTTTCAGTTATAAACGATGAGTGATAAAACAATATATGAAACATTAATATTGTATACGTATTTTCGTGAAGTGTATCCTTTCAACCCAAATCAAAATGAACTCCAACCAAAACTAAAGCAAACCTAGAGCTGTCACGAAAAATCATTTGTTACCTAAGCCGTATTTGAAGATGATTCCTTAAATAAGTGGTCCGTAGAGAAACTGAACTCTCCCTCTAAATTGATAATCCGTCTCTGTCCAATAACTTCCCTGAAAATACTGTGCTATTCCTATGCTACAACCCCCAAAATTCATAGTAAGAACTGTCGGCTGATGTAATATCCGTTACCCACATCTAAGGGTCCTGCCAACTATTGCGCTAGCATGACCTCCAGTGCATAAGCTAAGTGATGACACGTTGATTGGACTATACAGATCACTTTATCATTACTATCTTTTCCTTTCTTTGTTCTATAGCAACTATTTTAAGATACATAAAAAGAAAAGGCGAAAGTTTTCCCAAATCACATTAAGCTCTGGCTAATATTTTGATTTGAATACGTTTTTAATTAGTTAATTAATAATTAAAAATAGGACTCTAATTAGAATTTTTATATGCTTTGAGATACTTTTTTGTGAGTTGCTCTTCCTTTTTATGCTTCAGACTACATGCTACTATTTGAGTAGGTTTTTGACGAATATACTTAAAAGTTTTAATGGTAATACGGAAAAAATAGAAATTAAGTTCGGAGATTCAGTATACCGTTCATTACTGCGTAACAAAGCGTTGATCCGCCCGCATTTCCTTGCTTTACGACATCGGTTAAACTTTTAATAACCGTACGTATTAGCCAATCTATGATGTCATATTATACTGCAAAAGGAAGGTCGTACATAGAAATAAGTTGTAAAAGAAATACTATGAATAGAACGTTTGTGAATGGGTTAAACTGATCGTCAATGTTGATTGTCTTTGAATGTTGAACCTTCTAGGTAACTAAATAGTTTTAGAAATATAAAAAGAGGCATGAATTTCTTATCATGCATATGCAGCAACAAAAGTGGTCCAGAACATTTTCGAGATGATGACAGTATCTCAAAAGTTAGAATACTATAGAAAAAAAAAGAGTAAAGTTTTTTTTAACAAGCACATTTTCAAAGGAACGTTTGCCAAATTTGATTACAGATATCTTAATACTGAACTGTGTCACTTAAGATACTATTTACTGATAAGAAAATGGGAGTGCTAAGGGTGCTAAAGATTAAAGCACACGTACACATGTACAGAGTATCGTAACCCTGAGTTGCGGACACCGTAGATAGTGCAGTAATTATTTTAAAATGTAATTTAAATTTAAGTCTGATAATATAGTGCAACTACCATTAAATAGAACTCAAGCTATTTTTATTCAAATCAGTAGACTGAACACGAAAGGCAAAATATCATGGTATTATTCAAATATTTTAATGAATCCTTTCGCATTTTTTACGTACCATATTTTATTATAACCTGATTCCCATATTTCTTAGCTTTGAATTACTTCAAGATATACTGATCACTAATAGAACCCATTCGTTTGTATTAAGATTAGGATCCTACGATAGAAAGAACAGATATTTCTTACACGATTATTCTGTTATAGACAACTGAGTATTAAGGATTTTTTGTGGTTTGGATAACCGGTACGTAGAGCGCACGCTCTTTGCGATTTCTGGAGTAATTGTTCAGAGTGAGCCCTGCAAAGTATAGTAACTTAAGTATAAATCTTGAATACTGACTTCATGCGTTCAAATGCCATTTGCTAGTAATTCTTATGCGTTCAGTAATTGAACTTTAAGATGAAAAAAATAGTGTTCTTCGTTTTATTTATAGTTTAAATATATAACTATTTATGGTACGCGCATTATAATATTATCCTCTTATCTAAAGTGAGTAGGAGTTCGTATATGATGTGATAAACTAAACTATTGGTCAAAGATTGATACCAGATCGAGCTGTCGAGCCTACCTTAACCGCGGAATGATTGATCGTCTTTAGAATAGTACTCACCAGTTCCGTACAAGTGTATGCTAACCATCTCAAGAAAAATTAATCAAGTAATTTCTGTGATTTTTGCATATAAGATTTCGACGAAAAAGTATTATGATGAAAACAGCATATGATAGAATAATAACGCTTAACCTAAATACTGTAGTTTGTTACCCCTATATTGTCTACCTCGCCATATGAGCTGTGCCGAAAGCTTTCAAACTGAGTTACAGTAATTGAAAAAGACAGTCATAGCCAGGTAACAGAGCCTTTCAGTACCGGGTCACATACATCATTAAAGGATCGTAAGTGCAAAGCCGCGAGCTTCCTTTAGTTTACGCTAAAAATTAACAGAATGATGAATTTAGAGAAGTATAATTAAATAACTAGAATATCTGGACCCAGTCAATAATTATAGAGTAAGGCGAGGACCGCAAAGTAACTGGACAACAATAATAGCTGTGACGATACCCTGTTGAAATGATTTTTCCACATCGTACGTAGTCAATAGATATTAAGACACTATGTATAATATAAATATGTCTAATTTATTAGCTAATTATTTTCAGCATTTCCTTTAATAATGTAAGTGTATACGTAATATCATACATTTGGAGCAGATACGTAGCGCGATTTTGGGTCAAACTCCTGCAGACAGTCTATGTTAAGTGCCAAAGATAAATGCTTGGCGGATTACAAACAAATAATAGAGGAAAAAAGTCATTTCGATAGAGTCGAGTTACCTCGCAACTTATTATGCATGTGCACGATAACCTGACCAATTTATATTCCAGTAATTCTTGTACCCAATACGCTTACTTCGCGCCCCCAGCATAACGATTTGTCTACCATATTGTGGCACATTCTGTTATTATTTAACTACCGTCTGACTACGGTTTCAACGGACAAACTAATAAATCTCCTTGCATTGCATTAGCCTGCTTTTCGTCCTTTTTCGACAAATAGGCCAGAGTTGTTATGAATGCTTTCGCGGTGACTGTGTCGTGTGTTGAATGATATACTACATCCCATGACAAACAGACCGGTCAGGCAGACACTCCGTAGATAAACAAATTACATTCATGATTATTTACTATTATACATAAACTGCTGCTTTATAAACCGCTGCTTTTATCAAAGGTTTATGGTATTTGATTATCGCTATTCCGATCTTCAGTGTCGTTTTTCTTAGACTTCTCATGAAAAGTAGGCCCCATCATTTTGACTCACTATTTATTCACATGACTTACGATCCTTGACCTATAACTTTAGACCCCCACAATAATAACCGATCATTCAAAAAACCTTAGTTGCCTCTTCAACCAAGTGACCTTCAAATGACTCTCACTCTATTACCACCACCTATTTTTACATCAACTTTTCTATAGTAAATGATTAGTGATCAGTTAACGTACATCTTAACGTAACCACACGATTGACCTTTAAATAAAATCTTGAAAAACGTTTTACCGCTTATTACGTCGCAATTTGAGCAATGCTCTGCTGGGATTTAGTCTCCTTTTGCTTAAGAACTACCCTTAGGCCAATATCCCGGACAAACGGATACGCAATGATTTGTGTTCTTTTTTTTTTCTTATAAATAATAGTGTGCCATCATCTGTATGTACTGAAAGATGGTGCTCTACTCTAAAGAATTAGTGGTATTCTAGTTGTTCTATTCCAATGTAAGCCTGAATAATGCTACCTAATATTTCTCGTAGTACGCTTAATTTATATTTCTCTATTAATATTTCCTTTAGAGAAAAGTGCACTTTGCATTTCGGTTTTTGCATCACATTATCCGGACAACAAAGTTTCCAGGGCACCCCTTTATGTCTGACATGACAATTTCACCCCACTAAAGGTCCTTTTTATTCAGGTCGGTTGTAATACATCACATATTTCTTTATCTCTAAACTAATCGCACCGAGTTCATTCGATCTTTTTCCTTATATATATATATATAAAGTGATGTTTAGCACACGGTGTGAATTTTTTGTCTTGCCTCGTTTTTGTCTTGCGTTTCATTTTACATCATACAATTTTCCTCAATGTGATATAGGCTGCGGCAGAAGCTCCCAGTATTAGGCGGGTGGGTACTTGTAATGTACGGGGGGTACCCCGTAGGTAAGACTGAGTCAATATAAGTAACAACGTTTAACGTATTTTTCTCCTAGATATGCAACCCTATAGACATTGTTTTGTAAAATTCACAGAAACTCTCATAGTCAAAGTAAACCTTTCGGTGTTAACGTTGACTCTGTTTTCTGTTCTCCAGGTCTCCGCTGTACGACATGATACGTGTCGAGGCGATTTAGGTTCTGGGGTTTATCAGTGGAGCCATTATTAACCTTTAGCTCTTGCATATATATTTTTAAGCTGAGGAGCCGAATTTAAGTTAGCTTTTTCTGCTGAATCCAATTTGCCCTGTTGGCTGGTTTAAACATAAAGTCTGCCGAGAACTTTAAGTGCATTAGCAAGTTCTCTGATGGTGTTGGCAGCTCTTGCCGAGTGTAGAAAGGTGTCCAATTGTGCAGGTGTTACGGTGACAGTGCCACCCACTCCGACCACTGGTAGCGAGCGGGCAGCCGCCTCAAGCCACTCTAAATATTTTGGCCTGCAAATACGAACAAAAAATCCAGGTTCAAGAACAGTAACAAACAATTAGATAAATAAATAGGAGCAGAAAAACAGTGTAGTAAAGCACATTAATAGCCTTATTTAATACTTGACCTCGCAGTACTACTGCCTAATCGCCAAGAAAAATGGTCACGTGATCACTGATTATACGCTGGATAGCTAATCATTTCCTAATGTAAAAGTTGACTGTAATGGAGTTTACCTGTCTACTAATCTGCTGATGTCGTAGAGTATTTCCGCAAAGTCATGACTAAGATACAGAGGAAGTTTTAATATCGCAGCTTCGACCAGGCCGTACACAAATCGCGCGCCCATCTAAAATACCATAGTAACGCATATTATTAGTAAAGCTCTTCGACAAATATATCCAGCAACAAAAAGGTGATGCATCTAATTAGGGGTTTCGTTTGGAGTTGCGTATCGTATACTTAACGTAAGGATCTAGTTTGTAACTTATATCACTGCGAATGTGCCACGATTAACCCAGAAAATATCAACTATCCCCTTTGTTAATGAAATATCGATGTATAAAAAACACACACGTTGCCTGCCAGCTTACAGCTATCATTCCTACTAATTAAGTACTCGGAATTTAGTTACAAGTACCTTGTAACGTTGTTACACATCACTGATAATAAGTGCACCTGCCAATTGCGTGCATTCTGGGATCCTCAAATTGTCCAAATCCAAAAAAATCAACATGTGTGGAATTATGTCACACCAAAAACACCTTTACATGCGTCCGTGCGAAGCTTTAAAAATTTTTCTTAAAAAACCAGCTCAAAATCAAATACAGATTCCGGCTTGAAGTAAACAAGATGAGTAATCGAGATGTGTACTGTCTAGGCTTAGAAAGGTACTTAATTTTCTCTCTTTTGGCTATAAAGAGTTAGAAATTGCCTGCTTTAGCCCGTACAAGTGAACTGATAACATTTCTTTTTAACTTTCGTTGTTATCCTTAACATCGTTATTTACTACAAAGGCAGCATGGTGTTATCACCTACCAATCCTATGCAATTTGCCGATATCAAAAGCGGTAGGGGTTCACGCTTGGAATCTATTACTCTATGCTTACTTACCCTAACGTTAAAAGCCTGACACTCTTAATTAAAAAAAAATTATAGAGGTAAATCACAAATTAATGCAATTTATGTGTGAAAATTGGAAATTTACGTTTGTTGCAGCTAGCTATAGTAGTAAAAGCCATGTGTAAAAGCAACTTTCCTTACCTCATTAAAAATATTAACAGTATTTGTTCGAAGAGCTGAATCAACCGTTTTATCGTTGTCTCTCGTACAAGACAGAAGCTCTCCTAGAAATCTGTAAAGGTGCAAATGAATAGATAAAGCCGAAACATGAATGAAGAATATAATAGAAGAAGAAATATTATATAAACCAAAATTTGCTTAACGGTATCGCTGAAGATAATCCGTTTCATGGGAAAAATTAAACTAGTATATTTGTTAAAAGCTTTTCTTACCAACCTAAAATGGTCTCACTGCTAAGACATCTGTATCGTCGACCTATACAACAGCCGTTTTGAACGGTTCATAGTAAATCCACTTCGTTTAAAAAGCGAGTGAAAATAATTGCAAAGCCAACTTGACGGCTGTATTCGGGCATTAATAGTTCAATATCTATCCAATGTGATGCATACATCAACAATATTCTTTCATCCAAACGAGTATGTATCGTTGGTAAGAAGCTACGGATGGTACGTGGTAAAAACAAAAGCTTGTGGTACAACAAGTGCAAAAATACAATACCTTAGTATGATTTGACAAGTATACATATATACGCATTAATGTTAACCTTAGTTGTGCTTTGAAGCTTTTAGTTTTTTCAATTTCTTCATAAAATTAGCATCGACGGCATCCGGTTTCATATATGTTTGAAATACAGTGGGAACACATAGCCCACAGAACGGTCATTTAGTAAACTTTAATGTATTAACATTTACAAAACCCAGGACTCACTCAATTCGTTACTGAAACTGTAGCTTTGAGTCGTGCGAAATTGAAGTAGAAAAACCAAACTGGTTATTCTGCCTCTGTATTGATCGAGAGAAAAGTAGAATCAGAAAAAAGATGCTTTTATATAACAGTAATTTTCGAAATTTAGTTAACGAAAAAGTCCAATAACGCGCATTGAACTACATTTGTGAGCTCTTGCGCGTTTAAAAGCTGTATAAATCCAATAATATTCAAATTTAAAATCAGCGTTTTCTTGTTAGGCTCTGTTTCATATTGCCCCATATTCTCCTATATGGTTAGGTTTGTGCGACTCCGGAAGTCGGCTGTTTAGGTGCTGATTTCCGTGGTAATCGGTGAAATCATATGTGAAATCACGGACATGAATAATAAAGTAAAAATCTTTAACTACCATTGGCTCGCAAACATTCCTACTTCGAAGTATTTCTGTGTTATGTATCTGAATCTTTTCATCCGTTTTGTTGTTGTCTATCGTTGAGTCGAACTGCAAAAACCGCAAAGATTTTTTTTAAAGAACCCACGTTTGAAAGTTATGAATGGGGATAGTAAGACTAATAAAAACGCCGATGCCACTGGCCCTACCAATCTCGGAAGGTAAGTTTATATGGTTTAGTGTTTAATTTCAGTAATGTGCTATGATAACACTAGTGGTCAAAACTTTTTTCAGAGACTATATTAGGAGCGTAATACGGCAACAACCAAAATATGGCGTGGTAATTTAGCATGCATGTATTCAGTATGACTCCCATAATAATGACTCGTGAGTGTATCTTTGTCTGACTATCTATTCCCATCTCCAAGTTGCTAACTTTCAACAAAGTCTAAACACACCATTACAATCCCGTTCCAATAGAAATATCCGGCGCGCAAGGCGCAATCAAACCCTAGTTTACCCGTCGATTTCTCGTGCCTTCCAAGGCTAAGCATTAGACATTGTTTATCGCCAGTTCGGATATTGAAGGGGTAAAAAATAAATTCCCTGCTCGTTCTTAGGTTGAAAATCACTATCTTTCTTTGCGCTGTATGTAAACACATCCCTCAACGTGTGTGTAACCTGATCAAAGCCTACATTGCATATACTGTTCATGCCGGAATCTGAAGTAACCAACAAGTTAGGTGAAGCACATCTCATCTTTCGATCTTAGCACTTCGTAATCTCATACTGCGTATTGATGCATTATTTGAAAGTTTGTTTACATATTTGTCACCGTATTTTTGTCTCAAAAACGCGTCGTAAATAGTGTTACAAGTGGACAAAAGTAAACGTCACTTCACCATCGATGTTCGCGCAGCGACCCGATAAACTCATCTAGGTATCAAAAGTTACACGTGAAATATTCGTAATTTTCAAAATGTTTTACCACATTTTCAAACGATTCTACTCCTGTCGACCGTGTGTTATGTAAATCCATTATGGTCACATAATTCGATTGGTGAGAGTGTCTTGGTGAGGGCGTCTCCACTGCTGCAACCTCGTAATCGCCATTCAACAGCTTTAGAGCCGATATAAGATATGTTGTAAATTTGCCGTGTTTCAAATCTAGGAAATGTGTTTCTTAAAAGTTTGTTTGACTTAAGAGACAACATTAAGCACATGTTATGCATATGTTAAAAGTACAAAATCGAACCGTCACTAGCATTTCCTTCCAGTTCGTGGTGCTGAAAGCGACGGACGATCAGAAACAATGGTTACCTGCCTTTCGTCTCTTTTAAGTTTTTTATGATTTGCTACACTGAAATCTCCGTCTTCATCTTTGTTATCCATTGTCTCGCTCCATCAATATTTATTTTTTGGAATATGCTTTTATTAAGTTTGTATTATTCGCCTCGGTTTTTCCTTTTGTAGGATGTGTAGATAATGCGCGGCTTGTACCGAAGGGAACTCTACACTTTTTGTAATAAATATATCGTACAATGTTAGATATAAATTTCAAAAGAGATGGGCTCATACTACGGCGAAAGTCATTTTCTTTAGCAAAAGCTTCGCTGCACTGTCGCGCAGGTAATTTAGCGATACTTAAAGATTCTGCGTTCTGTTCCGTTAATGGCTGGCCGATCTCGCCGAACCGAATACGTTTTACGGCTGTTTTGTATCGAAAGTATAAGATTTTTGTCTCCATTCGGTCCTGCTGCTGGGTTTTGTTCCAGAGAGCCCGACTCGCGGATCCAAGACATACTCATGTCAACAGCGGTGAGCGATTGTCGGGGATGCTGAAAGCTACCTAATAACCACTGTTTATTCTAGACTTGACGCTGGCATAGAAATTTTTTCAGCACTTAACTACAAATGACATGCCCTTTTTGAGATCCTTTACGAAGATTGCCAGTAATAGTGGAACTATCCCTCGTCTTCTAGCAACGTTCGCTAAAATTGACTCCTTTGTTAAACCACTTTTTATACTAAACTTTCAAGGTTAATAGAACTCTCATTATATTTTCGACCTTTTTGTATTCAGGTTAGTGAGAAGATTCGATTGAGTATCCTTTTCATAATTACCAGCCACATCACACTCGATAAGGTTCATATTGTGTGTGGGAAGTTTCTGTGCAAGCATGTGCTTAAATAAAGTAGACAAAAGTTTTGTACGCAAATAAGTATGCTGGGCAATATATTATTGCTGGGTGATTAATGCATGTCTTATTGAACATTCGCAGTGGATGTCGCTCCAGACCCTGTATATTAAGTCTGATCAGTCGAGTGGGCCCTTTCTTTTATGCGGTTGATTTCTTTCGCTTGAAGCTCGGCTTCGAAATTTTTAGGCGGGCTACAAGTTCAGTTTACGACTCACTTTGATTTAATAATACTTGATTTTTTGTAAACATATCTCTTGTCTGCTTCACAGTCGCGTCGAGGCACCGTCTTCGATCGTTTTCGTTAAAAAGCGCTGTCGTCTGCTTCGCATCTTCGGTGCTAGAGAATAGATTAACTCAAGCGGTCGATGGGAACGTCACGCGATCAGACATGCAGAATTCCAGGAACGCCAATTGCAGAAATAAGTACAGGGTTTAAATTTAAGTTCCAAAGGAGAAGTAACGCAAGTTTTAGAATTGAAGCATACTCGTAATTCCCTTATCGACTTCGCAACTTTGATCGGCGCCGCCGTAGCGACAGGACGCTGTTTTTGGCCGCCGTCGCCAGAGAGTGCTGTTGTGTCCTTCGTATCTTCGGCGACGCCGCGGAACTAAAAATGGACCGCCGTTCGGAGTTATCAAAGTTAGAACGCAAATCACAGACGTCCAAAATTTCAGACAGCACGACCGTCGATTAAAAGAGGGAACTCTTGACTAAGGCTGCACTGACAGCAGTTGAAAGCAAAAGAGTCCCACTGAAGGTAATTGTTTCTACGAAGGAGAGACCGATCCGGATATGACAAATTCCCAACCATCCTCAGAAGGGAAAAATCTATTGGGAGATAGAGCTTTCTTTTTCACCCAAAAGGCACACTCATGGCACTTCATTGAAATATTAGTATGAAATTCAAAAAACAAAAACCTTTATTTAATTAGCACTATCTTTTCTTTAACAGTGCAATACGTTGTTTTCAAAATGCAGTTGTATTCTTTACAATCTAGGATCGTTCATTCAAATCTCGGCTTTTACCAGGCGGGTTGCAACCATGGAAAATCAGAAAATCCTAGTCGTTTACGTATACAAGTTCCATCATGGAACTACGGCGACGGAGACAGCTGGTCATACAAGCCTTAGATGTGGAATGGAATAAAAAAATTTAGGAAGGAGATCTTGATATTGAAAAATGAGTCTCGTCAAAGACCTTCCTGCACAGGTGAGTAAAGCAGGGTTGAAATTTATGGTGGAAATTGATGCACCTAAAAGTGTATGGGTGTCAGCCCTCTTTGCTTTCATGCTACAACAGTGGCCCATTCTTGTATCGAATTATGATTTGAGATAAAAATTGACTGTCTGCGATAATCGTAAATGATCACATCAGTGGATAAATGCGACCTAACCAGCACAACATTACCCTACAACAAATGTACAACACTTGAGCCTATCGGGTTATTTGGAAGTCTCTTGTAAGTGTTATTCATTAGAGCTTCATGAACCTAGGTTTGTCAGTACGGCTGCAGTGCATTCTCTAAAACTGAGGGAGATAATGAACGAACTCCAGACTAAGCAGCCAAGATTAATCAACAGATCTAGACCACTCCTATTGCACGTCAATTCTTGATTGAACTTCGTAGGAATCACAACAACAAAGATGCAATTTTTTGTTTAATTTCGAGGACGTCTCAATAGGAAGACCAAGTTCGATCAAAAACATATGTCGAAACTACCTTTACTCATTAAAGGCTTTCAAAACGAAAGCTTCCACAGCAGCCGACTAAATAAGCTATCCGAATGGCAAGAACTTGTAAGAACAGGATAAGTACAAGTAGTAGAAAGTTTCAAAAGTATGAGTTTGCTACCTCTCCTTTTAGATGAAATGATCCAATATATATATTGCTTTAGACTACCTTTCCTAGTTAATTTACTTCTTCTTACCAACATTGTGGCACTTCAAAGGAACAAAATATGCTCCAGCTTGTCGAACGAGCATCAAAAGATACCTAGATTTTCAACGACACATTTTTGGAAACCCTTATTTTTCTGATAACGCAACTAAAAAATAAATTTTCCACCACGTTCTGATAACCCACAAAAATAAAAATTTGTAGCTACTTTTTTCTTACTCCCCGTGAACGAAATTATGTATAATATATATATATAGAAATTTATTTATTAAATTGTTGTATGTGTAATATCAATCTTCATATTCGTGAACTTCTTTTTGTACTTTTCCTTTATTTTCGCTTCTTGTGAATTAAAAGATAGCTACATTACTTAATTTAATAGTTACTGAAGTTCTCTAAACTAATAAAGATAAATAATATAAGATTATTTAAAACATAAATCACAGATAAAAATAAAAATTCCAAATAGTACTTGTTGTATTTTAATCACTTGCCAAATTTTTTTTCGATGAATTTTTCTGATACCTCTAATTGCAATCGATTACTTACATTTTACCTTTAATAGGTTTCTTTCTCTTAATCTGTTTAAATTGTCCAGGTTTTCCAAATCCATATGGCTTTTATTTTATAAAATATGAAAATTGTCTAATCTTAATAAACTATATGTCTGCTTAACAGCCCGAACTCTACCGAAACCTCTGTGATCTGGCTAAAAGGACAACAATTGGCTGCAGTGAACAGACCTTGCCAGCTAAGCTTGACAAACCTAACAGCTGATCATCAGCAAACGAGAAATAGGAAAAAAACAGGCAATAAGCATAAATCGACATTACTTCTGAAAGAGCCTAATATTCTTTTATTACAGGTTTAGTTAAAGAGGCAAAAGCAGCTTGGCAGTTAACTTCATAGGACCATGCACAACGGTGCTCTTGTCATTTTTGCATCTTTTACATAAACAGTAAAAAATCATTTTCTTCACAAACAATGCAAAACGTATGAGCATGGATTTAGAATTTTTCACGTGTAGCACAGTTTCATTTGCCAGAAGTAAACAAGATTGTTCGTAAACAACCAATATGAGATATCCATCGCCTGTTTGAAGGAAAACTTGAACGAACTGCTCTGGTGAAGGAACTAAGCTATCTTCTACTATTCACGGGTCCTACGATAATTAGACTGCAGGTAGTTTCAACCTAAATTTTTTTTTACTTATGCCTGACAATTCTTATAAAGCTGTGTGTGCTTTACCTTAAAACGGCCGCATGGGCGTCGCGACGTTCATATGATAGGCAAGCCAGACTGTATTCAAGGATTCCACGGAAACAACTGGAGGACATGAGAGCAAGAGGCGCACGCTGAACACAACGTGTGCACAACCTGTATGGAATATCAAAATACAAAAAACACATGCAATTTTTAGATAGGAGTTAACTTGCGGCTTGACCTTTGTGCTCAACAAGGCAAAACAGACACGTTGTATGGTAATACTCACTATATACTATTCTAAAATTTTGGCTATCGTTACAGCACAAAGATAAAGAACTGAGTTCTTTAAGAAAACACCTGATCTGCTTCCACCCTATTGTACTTGCTAAATATTTTGAAAGGATAAGCTAGAGTAGGCTTTTCTCTTAGAAGAAGTGCGCTTGCAGCTTTAATAAGCGAACTTTACGTATTACGTATATTACAAAAAGGTTTATGCTTCCTCTCTCCTTTATTTCAGTTAGAAATTAACCTTTTCCCCATACCCAAACTTTGTTTCCTTAGTTTTTGAAAATGACACTAAAAAGCACTTTACGAAGAACATCAAAACAAACACTTTTTATGTTCGAATCGGTGTGAATAATGTCCTATATCTATAATCGTTTAGTTTATACTAAACTTTTGCATACAAACCGAAAAAAGTCTTCTATAGTATCGGGATTTTGCTCGAGGGCTTCGGCTGAGTTGAGCGTCTGGAATGTGGTCTCCGCAAGTGTGTTTACTAACGAAATCAAGCCAGGGACACAACTTGGCATTCGTCCGAATTCGTCCACCTGAGTCATTTGATGCAAAACGTTACAAACTGCATTACATGCAATTATACTTGGTCAATATGATTTAATATTTGCTAATAATGTAAATTAATTAGGGATTTATGGCATCGCACGCTTAGAAGGTGCAATTCTGTTGCATAACGGTAATATCTATACGTAAATGACCTCCATTTCTGTGTTTATTTAACATGCATTTCTTGATTTCAGATACAGGAAACTCCTACGAAGAAAACTATTGCGAGTATAGTAGGTGATAGAAAGCCTCTAGATGTAACTTCGTAATTCTTGTCATCGTGATATTTGCAGAGCTAGGCCGAGCACTGCCATACAGTAGATATGGTTTAGCTCTACACATTAATATCGGCTGCTTAGTGCATCATCCCCTTCGATTTTTAGGAATACACCATAGCCGTAATACATGAACCATGGCTCATGAAGCTGTAGTTAACAACATCTGTACTAGACCATAGACCAAATAGACTCCATAAACTACAGGTATTGTATATTTTAAATACTGAGTGATATCCTACCGGTTTAGTCTCATTTGCCTATAGATATGGCCGCTTGCGATTATCTTAGGGAATTTATTTTTTATCACAAATCATAATTCGGTGCAGGAATGGATTAATATTGTAACATGAGAGCAGACTCTATTTTTGGTTTTCACTCAAGTCATGCGGCACCCATTTATCCAATATTTTTACCTTACTGATTTACTCGAGGTGAACAAACACTGTATTTTCATATACAGCAAATCTGAGCACTAATACCCGCGTATTTTCAGATGAATTAGCTTCCACCACACCTCTCAGCTCTTCATTAGTCACTTTCACAAGGGGCTCTTCTATAAGATTCATTTTCGAGCTCGAAAATTTTTTCTCGGATCCCTTTGAACTAACAACTTCAAATGTTTCTAGTAGCAGAACCTCGACCGAATACAAGGATCTATGCAACGCACTATCTTTGCCATAGTAGTTCCTAGATAAAACTTATATCACGCAAATTTTCTGATCTCTGTTGGCTCAACTCACTCGCTAAAAGACCAAATGACAATACTCTAATGAACAGTCGTAAATATCAAAAAGTATAGGTGCATCTCGAATACAGAAAAAAAGACGTTGCACCGTTATAGAGCATGAAATAATGTTTGTCACACCTTGTATTGAACTGCCTAATATAAATAGAGCATAGGATATCTAAATCCGGATTTTTCGTAGGGGGTTGTCTTAACACAGTATCAAGATAAAAACAGATATTTAAAAAAAATTTTTACAGATTCTCAAAGTATCGTTCCTCACCGTCGCGCTTCAATCCATTGCGATTAAACTTTCAGTTCAACACCTATTACCCAGTTATTTTTGAAATATTAGTTTATTTATCTGCAAGTACTCTTTAATAGTAACCTTACGTGAAGTGATATTGTTAGATACGACATAGTTAAAGCGTCCCTCGAATACGCTAGATACGAAAAATTCCAGCAGAATTAAACTTGGGGCTGACAGTAAACTAAAAGTCCCGAAAATTCAAAAGCTTAAAACAGTTAAAAAGTTTAGAAATGCCAGAAAGGCATAAACATTTCAAGTATATTTCCCATTTAAGTTTATCTAGAAGACCTAATTGGGAATAGATGTTTTTCCCTTCCAAAACGACGGTTAATTTATGTATCGAAAGCCGATCTTCTGTAACATTTTGACAAATTTTCGAGCCTTTCAAATCTAAACACTATAAAGAATCTACCGGTTTGTCTCATAAAAGTCTTCCTCGAATTTTTCCGAAAGCACACAGAAACTGGCAATAGCTGAAACTGTCTATCTCAGTTAAAGTTTTTAATTTTGGTGTAGGTTGATGGACACGGAAAAATTGGATAATCGATGATCTTCACTCGCATTCTAAAAACGACACTCTGTCTTTTACCGTACTGCGTCTGTTGTTTTGTTCTAGAAGAAAACTGACTCTCTCCTCGTACTAAGAGCAGCGCATGAGTGTATGTCCTCTACGGCAAACAGACAGTTAAAATTTGACTAACTTCGAAATCGCCACCCTGTATACGTATACCTAAGTAACACGAAATACAACGGAATGTGGTGTTAGTGGACTCAGTCCTTGAACTCACGAGAATACTGGCTAAATAGAGGAAACATGAATGCGGGTGAATTTTATATGTAGAGACAAGTCGATTAACTAGTGGGTCAACCAGGGGCGATGCGGCCGTTGAAAGGAAGCGAACCATGTACCTGAGAAGTCCGAAAACAAAAATTAGTTCTACCGCGATCATTGGATATGCATAAATAAAAGCAGCCAACGAAGTAGCTCTCAATTAACGTGTGAATAACAAACGATTAACTGTGGAATATGTTTTAGTCGCATGTAAAAACTTACCTGAGTAACATCAGTTCTTGTATTTATTTTCTGTATCGTTTTGGATTGATTCGTCATTATTGGCGACATTGACAGTAACATAAACTGAGTGTTTTTACAACTTTGAACAAAAATTCTACAATCACGCCTTCCACGCAACGTTATAATGAGAGCACAGCCCTAGAGTATAATTTTTATAATTTTTAGAAACGTTTTTAATAAAATTATTATTTCCAATCTTCCCAGTTAAAATTACTATTAGAATAATTAAGTTATTGTCTAATAGAAGTGTAAATACATTTTTATATTTAATATACATTTCTAGTAGTGAAGTACAACACTTTTTCCATTCTCTTAGAGCTTACGTTACGAGGGTATAGCGTGCTGAATCTGCTAAAAATGCAGCACTATGTAAAAAGATGTAAAGTATCACTGTTTTCATCACGTACTTTATAGTTCGGCTCACGCGCTCGACGATACGCGTATCTGCTGTCCACCGCTGTAGAGTGCCGTCCAGTGAATGCCATGCCCTCTGAGCCAGGGCTAACGAATCGTCTAAGCTCAATAGCAAATACTCAGGATTTCCACCTATTGAACACGTTGAAGAAGGAATGGTGAAACATATATGCCACGTGAAGGGGTTACTTAAAAATTTCAGTATCTGCATCGCTTAGCTTTAAACTGCTGCGGTCTAAGTACTAGCTGAGCGCACATCAAATCATTCTCCAGCCACATTGTCAGAATTTCACCTTACTTTCCAATTATTTATTTCGAACATAATACACGATTAAATAAAAAAAAATAAGATACGCAGTTGGTTATTGACTATATCCGCAATTTTAAATAAAACGCAGAAGCAAGCGCAGAAGATTTCTTGAGCGAAGAACAAGCAAAGCACAGATACTAGGTTGTTTAGATTAGATGATTTCGTTCGTAAAGCCTAATAGAAGTTTTTAAATTATTATAGAATGACTTGTTATAGCAACCCTTGTCGCTCGCAGCAGACACTTCGCTTGGGTTGTCTTGTGACTTTGATGTTATCGGTTGCGCCTGGTTTGAGCTCAAAGAGCCACCGGTCGACGATTTATGCGGACGAAGTTCCGAGAGTTCCCTGAACAGAACGGCTACCCGGTCCGCCCACAAAACAGGATCAGAAATGTGATTCCTGTGTAAAATCTGCAATGAGAGAAAAGTTAAGAAAAGCATACACGGAATAAATGCGTAAGAAAACAATTTACACTATATAGTATGAATCATTTCGTGGTTTTACAAAACATTAAATTTTTTAGTTGATTTTAGATTACCTAACGCAAAGGCTATTGACACAATGTAGCACACTTGTTACTAAGAGCTTTATTAACTGAAATAAAAACATCTAGCAAACACAATTTACAAAAAAAAAAATCTAGAAGTATTTAAAGTAATAGACTATATTTTGAATATATTATGGAAACTAGCTTAAATAACTTCTGTTGTAGGGCTTATTGTTCTGGTTAACAGGCTCTGAAACGCTCGAGGTTAACTAGATAACAAATCTAGGTTGAGGAGCGCAAATATACTGATACAACAATGGCAGTATATTTCTGTCTATACTATGGCTCGGAGCGTTTGGTGAAAGAGCGGATAATGAATTAGAAAAATTAAATAGTTAACAATGTCTCGGAGCGGGGTTCTGTTTCAAACTATTTCAACAGCCACTTACGAGCGGCCTAACCTATATTGGCACAGTGTGTGTATTTCTGCGGGCTGGGGCTAGAGTCGGGCTAAGTGCGTTTCCCTTATGCCAATGTGATTTAGAGGTAGGCACTGCTAATGAACGGAATCTTTTGTGTAAGTCCAGATTAAATGACTTCCACTTCACTCTGTCACTACAGTGATTAGATTCTATGTACTCAAGGTCCTGGTTGCTTTATTCTGATGATGGATACTTGCCGGAAAGAGTGTCCTTAATCCCTTAATTAAACGAAAAGAAACTATGTTAGGAATTGTATTATATTCGACACACACGCTTAATATATCAGTCATAACGCTTTCTACATAAGTTGTAGTGTCTGCAGAATAAAATACTACGAAAACGTAATGCTTCGTAAAAGCGCTTTATCTCTTACCATTTTTTTTCACTCTAGCGTTTTTTATGGATGTCGCAGATCATTTAGGTAATGAATGTAATGATTGTAAAACTGGTTGCTACCATTTTCAACTTTTACTTCTTGTGGTGCAGAAGGGTAACGTATTCTCTGTATTATTAGACTAAATAAAAAGTTCCCGTTGTTGTTTTTGAATCATTTTAACTTATTGTAACTTTCAAAAAACTGAGTACATTTCTAGTCAAAATAGCATCCTTAAGTTTCTATAACTTCCGCTCATCTTTTCGGTTGTCCATGTATCCCACAAATAAAGCCTTGCCTTTGGAAGCGATCTATTCGTGAACACATTCGCGGACTCTAGCCTCTGTTCTTACGTGTTTACCTTTCTGGCTACGCTGCATTGACCGAAACACAATGAGCAGGCTTCATATTAGGTAAGACGTTGCAATGCAACAGTATCATTTTGCATCGCCCCTTACCAGTTTTTCTTTTTTTTTCTTTCAATTTCGTCACAATCTCCTGTGATTCTTTTATACGGTTTGAGTAGTGTGAAACTCCCTATCCACCCCACTATACACGCAAAAATGCAGCTTTTAATTATGAATATTTCTTCATAACGTCGAACTAAGCGGACCTAACTATTTCGGTTTGCATTTAGGAATGTCGGGAAGAAAAAGCTTTTGTCACGGGTAGCAATCTTGTATAAAAAAACACATTTTATGTTCTTGTATATATTCTGTGGTGGAACAAAACTTAACATCTTCACCAAATTGATAGAAGTCTTCTTTTCTTCCTTTTCGGTTTTTTCTAGTGCATGCAAACGATTAACAACGGTCATCTACGATACTCCTAACTGTGCGGAAGGTTCTTGAGTCTACTACGCCGCATTTTGCCTGAAATTCTCCACTTTTTGTGGACCTCTGGAGCATAGTTTGCCATACAAGTTGAGATCTCTCGTTGTGAAGCAATTAAGCCAAAACTGGGAGTGGTAAAGCTTACTGCACGTTTGTCTTCGACTTCGAGAATAAATTCTTGCTGTTTTGGCGAAGTTCTTTCCAGCATGAAAATAATGTGGAAGACTATGTCGTATACGCGTCTTTTCAAGCTCGACGACTAAGCTCACCGAATTATTGCTTTTTAAGATAACAGCTCGATGAGAGCAACAGGGCACACGCAAAGAACGTAAAACAATTATCCTGAGAATTTCTAACCTGAAATGAACCTGAGAAGCTGGACGCAATCGGCCTACCCGACGCTAACGCCATTTCCCGCTCCGAACGGAAACTCCTTATTCAAGAAAAGATTAGCAGACGCTATCGCTAGAAATTTCTGCAGCCTTTGAGTTTAAAGGGGGATAAGACTTTTCAACGATAGGGACGCAATGACTTGTATAAGCATTTTGAATTACTGTAAATGTACATGATTTGATTTCACGGAAAAAGTTTTGAAAAAAAATTTTGAAAAAAAAAGACAATGGTTTAGCCAATGGTTTAGTTACCTGGTGATTTGGGTTAAGGAGCATATCATCAATAGGCCTCAACTGAACCTCAAGCAGTGCAAGAAGTCTCGTTGAATCTCCAGCTTCGGCTAGGACATGGGTGGCACCTTGCAAGAGGCCTGAAATCGCCTCAGTTGACAGAACCCCGGATGGGCCCAGCTGCTGCTGCACTGATATGACCAAGTCGCCGAGATTAGACGCATGTGGTCGAAGGTGCTCTCGACAAAATGTGCATACCTGCAAATTACATTTATTATGAATATTCGTCTCTTTTAAATCTAATTTAAATTTAGCCAGCCAAAAAACTATTCTCTATGTGTTCGACTATATTAAAAAAAGCGAATGCTTAGTAATAGCTGATCCAAATGACGCCGAGCAAAAATACTAACTATATAACAGTATGATTGACTTCTGTTTTCATGAAGAAGACAGGTAACAACTGAGACACATCTTTTCATTATGCCTAAAAATGTTATATATTTTACAATGTGTTGTCCGATATATGTAACGTTTTGATTGCTTTTAACTGACATCAGCAATTTGTGCGTTATTAAGAAAAGATATTTTTAATAAAAGTTACTTCATTCTCGATTCTGTTGGAAATTCAATACGTCGGAATTCAAGATCAGTATAAAGGTATTTTGTTAGTTCTTCACACAAGAATACCGTTTAGATGCCTTCGTAGAATCACGTTGCTCAATACACATAGCAAAAAAAGTCGCTCACTTAATCTCAAAGACAGATACTGGTACTATTTTAAAACTAAACAGATGCGATACGATCGCCTGAGGTGTTATTGAAGGTTTTTCTTAGCACGTTCGCTAAAAAGGTCTTCGCAAGTTGCCAGTGTTAAGTGCTCCTCACTCAGTCCAAGCGGCTTCTTTGAGTGTTGCCGAGAACTTGTCTCTTTTTGCCTCATTCTCAGCAAATAGAACAGACGCTTTTCTTTTTTATTCAGACCAAGACAAAAGTAGCGTGCAGTTGACCCTGCCCTTAGGAATAATCTAAGTTTGTCCATTCTTGAGAGAGAATTGTAGCGTCAATGCATAATGGAATACTACAATCCAGCAGGAAACCAGCTTCTTGCAGATTAGACTGAAAACTTTCAAGCGGTGGCAACGCATGATGCGCCGTGAACTTCTGATACGACAGAATGCACTCCTACTATGACATCCTCGTCTCAAATTACACCACAGCATGGTGTCCTCTAAGTTATCATACAGTTCGAAACAAACATTTTACTAAACCTAGTTATCAGAGGTGCAGAACATGCGGTGAAGTACTGAATGATTCGACAGGCAAGCAATTTTTAAAGCTGACTTTTATTTTTCTCTATGAGAATATACTATTGCCCTAAGAATTATATTTAGAGGCTTTCCAGTGAGTTGTATTTTAGCCAAGGCCAAACGTCACTCTGTAAGCTAGATAGCACATCTAGCATATTTAAAGAGTATACATTGAGGGATAGTTACATAGGTTACCCATTCCGCATCTGAGACAGCGCTGTCTTTGTTTTGTATCTCACTCATGGCTAACCCAGTTGAAGATTCCGAGTAGTTGTCAAGGGCCTGTATCTCAACTATTAATGTTGAATGTAATTGGGCACTGGAAGGACATCGTGCGATCATCCCGGAATCGACCCAGTACCAAACAGAGCAGATAGCAAATTTTTCTAGGAGGCATTACGAGCCGAGCCGCACCGTAATCTTAATCGATATAAAACGATGTATATTAAGGTTGCCACCTTTTTTTTAAAAACGTGCATAAGGCCGCACAAAGCCATTGCGCTTTGCTTCGTGCTCTAACGAGATAGTAAAGACCGCCAGTCTGGAAGCACATGCTCATCTAGCCACATAGCAAAGTTGCTATCATTACATAAAGTCGAGACTTTTGGAACAGGGCTCGTGCGATGTTTGAGAAATTTAGATATTTTCTGCGGTACCGTGTACATCGTATGCCTTTCGTGCTGAATGAAACCAACTCCGTGAATATTAGGCAGGTTATTTGTTATCTTTGAACGTGCTTTAAACGCCTGATTCACATCTCCCTTGATGTAGGTCCCCCTAAAACCCTACAAAACGTTTTAGGAGGCTGTGATATCATCGTTAGACATGCTAATGGAGACAAAAAGCGTGCGAAGCGACCAGATATGATGATGAACTTAATGTTACAGAAAAGAGCGCTCCTGGCGGTAAATATATGAGCCAATATTAGGTTTATAGATAATGGAGTAGTAGTCATAAACGCTAAAAAGTTTGTTGTTTGAATTTCAGTTAATTCTGATATATCAAGTTTATAAAGAGTTAAAGGTACGAGCTGCGATTACGAAAGCTGCTTTGCACGGAGGCTGACTGAATGAAAATTGAGGTTTACACATGAGTCACTTGTCTGCTGCCGGGATGGTTATACGATGGGTCACCTGTGACACCGAAATCAACCACGCATCGATCGATCATTATTAGATTAGCACCCTATGAAATAAAGTTGATCTGACCACTGCAGTGCTGTTTCCGAGATTTTGAAAGATGTTGGGACGTATTGTTCCGGCTAATCAGAAACTCCTTATTTTCGATTACTGACGTTTGGGACTTCTTTTTCTTTTAAATTCTTAGTCTACAGGCTAAAAATAGCCGGCCATGCTGGAACGCAAGGTTTGGCGCACAGATTTTCTCACAATAAAAAACTAGCCTCCAGGAGAATTGGTACAAAAAACCAGTTATGTACAACTAAATTTTCGTTTTGTTCGAATAGGGTAGGCATATGAACTTAATATGCAACAACTTAGCAAAAACTTAGTGCCCTCATCGATTTCTGTTACAAAATCTGCAGTACACATAACTGAGACCCGACCTAAGTAAAGTTTTGAAATTCAAAATTATTCACAACCATCCGAAACCATCCAATCAATAAACGGTCGTTCAAGTATCGACCGTCAATCATGTCCGAGAAAACTAAAATGAACGTTGCAGAAAATAAGGGTCATACTTATAAAATGTTTTTTTAAGCAAACAATCCAAAGCTCGTGGAACCGACACCAAAAATTGACTGCAGCTTTGAATAGCTTTAGATGAACATGTGAATACGAAAAAGTTAAAAGTAGAGGTGTAACAGTTGCTTGCTCTAGACCAGGACTTCAAGAGTTCTCAGGTTAGAGCCGATATTCTGGCCTGTTAGAGCAACGTACGCCTTCTTGTATGCGTAGATTCGTGATTCCAAACTAATCGCGATTTTCCAACTAAATTCGCTACTATCCGATTTACATCTTTATAGTAAGATGCGAACAACGTAAACCTGCATGAAAAATGAAAACTAAATGAAAAAGAAAGGTTCGGTGCTTTACACAAAGTATGATCAAGATCTGGATCTTAATATCGGTTTCTTATTCCATTCCAAAGATTTACTAGTCTAGAATGTCCTATTTCAGCATAATCATGAACTAAAAAACAATCTTCGCTTACATTTTAATATACTCGGATAACTGCGATATTCGCAAGAGCTTAGCCTTAGTAGCTACACCCAAGTTAAAAGTCTCGAACGCAACATCTCTTTAGAGTTAACTCAAACGATCTACAAGTTACAAATAAAGTTAATCATTATTCCTAAAGATATGGATAACCGCCATATAAACGATCCATCTAGAAGCAAATTCATGTGTTAAGCAGTGTAGAGCAGTACAAAGGAAGTCACCAATTTTTCGTTGAACCACTTTTCTTGTTAGTATGTTATTTGTCGTTTTACAGCTTTAGCCAAAAAACGAAAAGTACAGAAGCATATTATATTAGGCAATGTACGAATGTTAAAGCGATGACGTGATCGGAATTCTAAATTGTACACAATAAAAAAGTCAATACGGAGGCGGACCTTAACTTTTTGCTTGTGTGTAAATTCCTAATAGTGTTTATAATGCAGTATACATGAAAAGCTGTGCAGGATAGAGTAATTACATGTTATCCTCATACAAATCGTTACAGCGCGACCGTTTTAGTTCACACCTGTTGTAGAGTGTATGCCCCCGCCGCTACGACTGGCGTATTCAGCGAATTTACGACAAGACTCAACACGCTGTGGTTGTCAGTCCATAGATATTGTGGATGATGTGACAACCATTCGGCTAACTTTCCTAAGAGTCTGTAATTAAGGATCATAATACTTGTTAGTGTATGCTCAAGGCGGTATCTGCATGTTTCACCCGTCGATTTAATTCCTGGGTTATTATTTTTAGAGTCATTTATATTTGAAAGCCATCGGTACAACATAACTAAAATCAGCGAGACAAACAATATGAAAAATAAAAGTAGAGCAAAAAACTGTCAGTTTTGAAGACGGGAATAAAAATATAAGAAAAGAGCGACACATTAGTTAGAACACGAAAAATTAGCTACTTCATCAAGACACAAAGCTATGTGGTCTTCTGTATAAAAATCACTTGAGTATAAATCAAAACTGGATTGCAAACGCGATATTGTTCAATGTCCAGATCCAACCGATTTGCCCTATTTCAAACAAAATTAAAAGAAAAAAAAAATTAAAAACGACTCTATTGACGTTTGGTGTTATTTCTGCTAAACGTAAGAAGATGCAGTTGGTAGCGATCGTCCAGCAGCATAGTCTGTTTATGCTAAGTGTTAAAAATATATATATTATATCGTTTTATTAAGTTCGTTCTGGATACTGAAATAGGTTTAATTTTGAAGTGAAGTTGGGTAAGAAAAAACAATTATTTATTAAATTTATAGGGTTGTCTTCCGGTCCTCTTTTAGCGTCACGTTCAATTTGTTTGCACTTTTCAGGTAAGTTAGACAAGCGTCTAAATATTAAGATGTCAAACATGTGTTTTAGATCAATTTTGAAGTTTTATTTCTCTTGAAAATTTGTGAAAAGAGCTAAATGCAACCCAAATTCGTGAGAAATTTGTGGGACACATGAACTAAGTAATATGGCCCATCGGGCGCTCAGGAAGTAGTTCGTTTTCGAAGTGGCGATTTCAGCATCATGTCAAGGCATGTCCAGGTTGGCCCCTTGATTATATTGACGCTGAAGTTCTCTCTACAGTCGATCAGAACTTATATACGAGCCTTTGCCAGGTTGCAGAAAATATAGAAGGATCCAAACTGACTGTTCAAGGAAATTGAGCAAAAAACAGTTTCTTGTAAGTTGACTGACCAAGCGTGTTAACACGGCTGATCATCTTCTAAAATTAAACGCAGAAAACCCCCTTCCTGTGACAAGCAATGAAAAGTAGACCATTTCCAGTAACGCTACTCAGGGCAAATAGTGGCCAAAAGTGATAGTACCTCTAAACGAAAGCTAAAGGTGTACCCCACTTAAAGAACTTAATTTGAAAGGATTGCTATGGAGTTTAAGGCAAAGCATCTGAGAAATGTGGCCAGTTATGGCGAACTGTAAGCGAGTAACTTTTCATCATGACATTGCCAAATCTTACGCATCTTTAATGACCCACCACGGATTGTACGATCTTGAATGGGATGTTTCGTCTCACCGATTGTATAGCTTTGAGCTTGCTCCCCTCGAGTATTGCCTTTTCCGATTCCTGCAGAATCCCCTTAATGGGAAAAATTTTACATCTTCAAAAGATGTATAAAACCATATTGACTAGTGGATCGCAAATCAAAATATTAATTTTCGGAACAATCGAACCGAAGAGTTATTTGAAAGATGAATTGGAGCTGTCGCTAATAACGGCCAATATATCATCGGTTGAAGTCGCCTAGCCAAAAGTGGCTTTGTTCAGTGAACTTAGAGCACGACCCAATATAAAGTACATAATTTCTCCTATAAGATACTTATATTATTTTTTAGAGTACAACCTGTCTCAACTTTCTTTGCTGTCTTAGACTGGAGGAGATCCTTGAGTTCTTCCGGTCAAAATTTTTATTGTAATATTTGTTCGCACCATATTCTTATTGCACAGTAGACAACAAAATCTAAAATCTATACTTATTACTTATAAAACTAAGGTGTGCTCCAATAAATCTAATAACTAAAAATATGAATAAAACATTGGCTATATCGGCGACTCTAAAAAAAATGGCGTATGTAAGTGTTAATTTCTCTAGTCGATAATAATACCGTATTCCAGTGTATCTAACAGCAACGTGGCACTTGTCTGGCAACGCCAAGACGGCATCAAGAACCGGAGGGATGAGTTCACTCTCTTCTGGAACGAGTTTCGGTCCGAGCGCTGTCATTGTAAACAACGTTGCTTCCGTCACGTTCCATGGAGGTCCCTTAAATGGATCATGATAACAATAATAAAACTATCAATTAAATAATCGGAAAATTATAATCATGGTGTTTCTTGCAAAAAAAAAAAGTAAATTTGTAAAATATAAGCGTTTAACGAAGATTTATCGACTGATCTGGCGAAGCGAGTATACGCATCAGAGTCAAATAGTTATGGAATTCTGTACTATGAAGCTTACAAGACAAGAAAGTGCCTGCTGATGAGTTCGTTCGGGTCATATGTTGAAAACAAATGTAGGTCCACAAAGAAATTACAAATGAGGAACACAAACGCAGAGCCTTGAATCTTTAGAAGAAATTAACTTTTTAAACAGGAAAAATTAAAAAAAAATATATAAGGTATTTGCTTAAAACGGAAACTCAAATAAAGATATATATACAAGGTTGACAGATATACCTGATAAATCCATTAAAAACTGTACGAAATTGAAAATGATTTCTAAACTGTAAAAAATATGGCAGTAATTATTAGATTTGAAAACTTTAGACCCCCCCCGCCCGTGGTATTTATAACATATGCCTACAATATCATTTACATTGATTTAGGCTACTGCCTAATAGTATTTATAATAAATCTCTTCCGAAGAATGCTGCTAACCTGTGCGCTCATCTGCGAAAGGCGTTCTGTAAGCATCCGAAATGCATCTCTGCTCCCGACAATGAAAGCGACTTCATCGACCATGTCGTTACACCTGCATCACCCACACATTGGAAATGGGAAACAAGCTAATAATAAAGCCTAGATTGTAACAGGTTTCTAATAATAAATACTACTGAAGCTCAGAAAATATTTTTTTCGCGATGTCATTGACCACTCCCCAGCAATCTTAGATTTACAATCGATCACTAATTTATTTAAACTACCGCAGCGTTTTTAAGATAAAGGTACAAGACTCATAATAATTCATAGCTACAGCTTCGATAATACTTAAACATGTTGTAGTTGGCTTACCTTTCTCTAAACGCGGTAAATTCATCATCTTTGTCTGGTAGTCCCTCTCGGTCAGCTTCTAGTTGGCAGTGATGGCAGAGTGCCGCAATTAATCTCATCACATATGGCTTGTACACCTCTTGCATATCGCTATTGTCCAGTTTGTACAGTGCTGCCGAAAACTTGTACCAGAAGTCGAAGGTCAGCTCGGCTATCTGCAATTACACGATAGTGATTAGCTAAATAAATATTAGAGAAAATATTTTTATACTATACAAACACGGCTAAATAATAAAGAACGGAATGTAGCTATGCAGACAGACATATAACACCTTAGAGAGTGGCCAGAAGCCTCATTCGCGTTTCTTCCGCTGGCGATGATCTAGTTGCTGATTTCCGCTCAGCTACGAGGAAGCCTCGAACGACTTCTGATTTCTAATCTAATATTATATATAATCAATGTCAAATTATATAATATGCACGCTAAGACACACCTCATAATCGTAATGTTGCATACAAAGGAGGATTAATTCTATAGTTCGAAAGTCCCCCAATCCTTGCCCAGGTGTAGTGATAAAGTCCTCCGTTAATGATTCCGCTAAGTCAGTAAAAAGGTGAACGATATTTGTTGTTCTAGCTGGATCCTCTTCGCTGACTAAACGCAAATACGTATCGTGTAGTTGGAAGACTCTGTAAATGAATTATTATTATACCAACAGCGTACGTAATTAAAATACATTGTATACTGTCATAGACTATCGTTGAGAAAAAAACTATTGACACATGCGCCAAATTTCAATAATTACGATTACGAATCATAATTATTCATGGATAACTTTTTAGATATGTATAATATCGACACTAGTTTAAAGACTTTTAAGGTGATTAAGCCGTCTTTGGAGAACGATACACATATTGTCTTCTTATGCGAACAACGTGCAACACCAGGATGTGAGTATATATACCATCAAAAACTGGGCTTCGCACGGTTCAGCACAACCTAATGAAATATAGTTTTCGTTAGCTAAAAAACAAAGCTTTTCCGGACACCGTTGTTGAATGCAATTGTCACGTTCACCATATATTCACTACGTATTTAAAATTTGATTTCACAGTTAGATTTAATCGTTCCATATTTAAATTTATAGTTTCGGCACATACTTCACGCGTAGCGTCGTCTAGAAAATCGTCTAAAGAAGCTAAAATTTAACCAAATCTCGACCAAACTTTAAAAATGAATATATTGAAATTAAAATGTTTACACCATTAATCGCGTTACTTTTATACTGTGGTTATCTATCAGCTATCCATCCATAAAAATAATCAGTCAAATTAGAATGCTTAAATTGCTTCCTTTTTTTTAAAGATTACCTATTGGCGCATAGCCAAGCAAGGTCAGGATGCTTCCTAGATTCCTCTGCTAGAAAAATGGCCTTGCTAAGTGCTTGAGACACTGTTGAGTGGAGCGCTTCACTTGTTTGAGTATTTGCCAATAGATCAAAACCCATAGGAAGCATGATGGTCAATAAGATCCGATCATTAGGCGGCAAAGCGTCCGCAGCCAGCCACGATTCTAATGCACGGAACACCTGTTAAAATAACAGTTATTACAACCTGTCCTTGAAAAATGACAAAATCATTACATTATTGACTCCCTAGATGTGTCTGTCATTATAGACGTTATTAGCGAATAGGGTCCTAACATTCTAGCTCAATTGCGCGTTGGCAGATATATTGGCAGATACCTTACACATTCTCATCAATAAATAGTACAACATTTACAACCAGTAGTTATTTTTTGGTCCCTTTTTTATTTGTTTTCCTTTTGCTTTAGGACGATTAGATACTGAAAGCCCACTGACTAGTTGTTTATACTTCCTCTTAGTTCTTAGAAGTAAATTAGGCCCAACGCAAACTTTGGTAATGAACCATTAGACAACTTTTTGTTGGCACAACCTGTGTAGTTATGCAATAAGCCATCTAAGTACGCATTCTCACTGAAGCGTCTCTCAGTTACGGTAAACAACTCAATATTTATTCAATGATGATGCTATTTCTATTGAACAACCAATGTAACGAGTACAACAAAAAACCCCAACAATTTTTGTGTCATGTAGCAGAAGAAATCGTTTATATTAACTACAATAATGAACAATAAGTTGAATATTTACCTGACAGTGAGTGCGGTCATCATTGACCCCTTGAAGGACAGAAGTCATCGTCTCAATTACCCGACTTGCTGAAGCCCGTAGGCTTTGCTTTACCTATAAATGATTAAATTTCGTAGAATACAAAATCTGCATCATGCAAAAAATAAGAGTCGTATATAGTTAGCCGGGCCTAAAGACTTCTGGAACAGAGCAGGACAAACGAAGGGTTCTCACTTCACACATCGATTTTGAGGATCCTTTCATCATTCCAAAATCTGTCCTTTCCACATCATAGCAGAGCCAATTGGGAAATGTCTTTGAAGCCTAGAAAGTACCAAGTATCTTTTCCTCAGCTGGCTTTAAATTTATTTAGCATCAAAATCACATCAATGAGCTCCTACTTATGAAGGGAGCAGGCTGATTTCTGAGTACGCGAGATATCGAAAACTTATTTTTCACAAAGCACGAAATATGCTTCCCAATATCAGAAATCAGCTGTATGCGCCTATAGACACGAATTTTTAAATTTGTCTTTGTTTCATAGGGCCTACGAATATACAGGTCTCACATGGTACCGAGAGAAAATTGATCCTCAATATTTCCAGTAACACCCATTCTATGAATCGTGAAATTGTAGGCTTCAATGAAGCAGTGACAAAGCCCGTACTCCTGAAATCACTCAATAGCCATCTGAACTGAATGCCGGTTTCCTCGTAACAGAGATAAATTGGGCTCTACGCGTATACGTACTAAGTTTATTTTTTCTAATTTGCTGCTCATATAGACGTTTAATTATAAATTAGCTTTCACCACGTACACCATCAGAACATTTTTCAATGCTAAACTGCGGTACTTGAATAAAATTCGTTCATGGTGGGGATAAATATTTGAGTATGTATGCCGGTATGCCAAAAGGTCTCCTTCGTTCACGTACCACAAGTAAAATTATACTCTTTCGACCTTGTATGAATTTGGTCTGTACAGAAAGATCCACGGTAGTGCTGTTGGACCACCACCGGAAACTTACAATGATAACCCACTGAAAACCTAAAGGTGAACTGATGCGTTCGTAAACCTACCGATATGTTCTAAATGTATTATTATTAATTAATAAAACGCTAGTGACGACTGTACATGTTCAACTTTGTCCAATCGTTTATTTTAACTAAATTCGTAACTCTTTATTCCGCAAGCCCCTGTCATTTTTTTAGCAACATTTTTTTTTAAAATAACTGTCTTTCAATAGTATCGTAGAAGCGATTGTTGATTTTTTTTATTAAATGTAGTCTTCTGTGCATTCTGCGCTGCCCCATATGCTTACCTTTTGCGAATTGCGATTGCCTTTTACACTTCATAAGGTTGTCTCCATCCAGAATAACCCCAAGTTTGGTTTACTACTCCAGATACCTCGCTTAATTCAGGCAAATAGTTTTCTTCAATACTAAAAAATAATTCTTTATAGAGTGACCCCAGAAAAAGCACTCCACAATTTATTATTGAACAACTTAGCTTCATTTACATATCAGTCACCCTTGATTGGAAGTGTGCATTTGAAATTTCTAACGCGTTCTACCTCATATTGTTATATTACGTGATAAATTTCATCACTTAAATGACAGAATTCTGTTTTTAGTCCGCGCTACTTGGGAGTCTGTAGACAGCTGCTGTCTATCTACCATTCGCTCACATAATTCTGCACCCTTCGTCTCAAGCGCTATTGTATTAGTATTGTATTATTTCTATTTATTTACATATGTATACAACCGTAAACAAAGTTCTGTCGAACAAACTGATCTGTGTCAAACCGGTTATAGTCGTATCGGGTGCTACAAATTCTACCGTTTGTTTGACGAATTTCCATGACTACTATGACGATTTTGTTTATTACTTCGCATATCATAGGTATTTCCTTCTGTCCCGTCTTCTTGTATGTTTAATAAACCAAGCTTCTAATATATTTACACTCTGCTGCTTCGTGGAATGTCCTTTCAGTCATGCGGGGCTTATAGAATTTTAGCAACCGTTAGTCAAAGTCCTGTATTCTATTCTACCCTTACAACGCCATAAGCAGTAAACTTTTAACATACTAAATTTGTATTCACTTTACCAGATTTCAACTTTTCTCAAAAAAAGTTAGATAGAGCACGACCGAGGCTCTTACGTACATTCATTCGCCCTATTAGCTTCATGCGATGCAAATTTTTTTTATATAAAGCGCTTTTCAGTCTAAAAATGAAAACTTGGAAAATATATGCAGCTCTATATTATGACTTCTTTCTTACTTTTTTTCACTGTGACATGCTTTTACGTTCTGCTTAGCTTCACTAATGCAATAATTTAGTTTTTGCAGATCCATTATATAACTACAATCGCTGTTATTAAGAATTCACGCAGTAGTTTTGATAATCATATAGTCGCAGCATTTCCTCTGACTCCTTCTAATTTATTGTACTAGTACAGGCTTCCGTATAGTGTTCTGGTTGGTATCAGCCTTGTGGCTATTGCGGATATATGAACATACTTACCTCTTCGCGCCGATTCTGACCTAGCTTAAGCCTTGTGTTTTTCACTACTTCTTCAGGAAAAACAGTAAGAATCTCAAATAGAATAATTTGAGTTGCTGTGTCTGTCGGATTCGATGGCGCTAATCTGCAAGACAACACGGCAATGAGCCTTTTGTATTAGAAAATTAACGTCCAAATTATTCAAGAAAACATCATTAATCAGACCATTATAACCCTACAATTACAAGAAGGTTATTATGATTTCTAATCAGACTTAATCGGTCCGAATCCTCTAGTTTTACTAACGATAATGTATTATATATATTATATAATATATATAATAATAGACTTATCTCGCCTAAGCTAATAGGGAGGTGTGAATTACAAATATAATCAAAACAAACTACACTAATATATCTTGATAAAGCGAAGATAACTCTGTCAAAAATTATTTAGAATGGTATGCAATAGACAAGTATTTCTTGATTAAATGACTGCGATTTTCCGACTTCTGAATATCTAAGACATTACGGTAACTGGACTATCTGACTGAATCATATTGCTTTGTTGAACTACACGTTAAACTACGTTAAAGAACTCGACCTAGTCGATCCTACACTGTGCTCAATTACACACATTGCATACATCCTACTATTATATAGTATTATAAAAAAAGCCGATACCTAAACTTTAAAGTTAAAAAGTTAAAGAAATCTTATTGTAAAGTTACGGCTGTAAAGCTAAGAGAAACTTTACAATTCAACAGCCATATCATAACCGCTATGTATAACAGTCAGGGGTCTTTATTATAGTTAGCTCGACCCAGAGGTAATCGGCCATTTGATTATTAAAATTAAGTTCCTTTCTTTAATATAATACAATGCATAACGAAAATATTATCTAAGGACAAAGTTTGTACGTGCATTGCTTAAGCCAAACAAAGAATATTGATTACTTCGTTATTTCTTTTCACATTATTATTAGTATATATTATGTAGTTATATTATTATAGTATTTATTATTACTATTATACTATTATGAGTCAGGTTAGATTTAGCTAAACTCGTTTTTTGAAAGCGTTCACACACGACTAGAAATGAATAGCCATAAATAAAGACCGCAGAACTATAACAGTGGTCGTTTAATAACTCGAATGCCAATAACCAAACCTCGGTGGGGGTAATGATGGTTGACTAATACGTACAGGACAAAGTACCTCGTTAGAAGGTGTACATATATGCATAATATGGTCGTGAATATATGATTATTAATAATATGAAGACCCTTACCCGCGGGCTTTTTGTATGTAATCTTTTAAATAGACCTAATGAACTACTTTTATGTATGCGAGCACCGAATCCGTACACTACGGTGTGTCACTTTGCCTAAACATGGAACACAGGAATAATGATATCCATCTGCCCGCTTACTAAGCAAATGTTATTTTAGTACCCACTGAGTGAATGATTTAGCCACTATGCGGAACAAATAAGCAGAGAATTTCACAGAAGCAACCTACCTGTCGAAGATATCGGCGATAGGATTTCTCCATTGTGACATAACAAGAGCCAAATCGGAAATCGCAAGAGCTAACTGAGTCACCACGATAAGAGGCCACTTCTTAGATAAATGATTTAATAGGGAATCTTTCAGAGATTCATAAGAGGTTACGGGCAACTCGTCAAAATTGTACTGGATCTGCAAACATTTCAATAAGTAAATTATATATACTTAGTTTGTTCTAACAGCACTAACCCTATAAGGAGTGACAAATCATACTGTTCATATATTATAGAGGAAAGCGATTGTTACAGCCTATGAACTGAAGTTTCATTCATACATGTGAAGTATGTAAAAAATCGTAAACATCAGTGTTAAATCTTGAGAAATTTATCTTTAAAATTATCTGGGCATCGATATCAACAAAAATTATATTTCGTCAATATAATCGATGATCTCTTTGGTAATTCGAACTAGTATTCAAGTGCTGTAATTGTTTTTAATAAAGTTCGATGTTTACTGTTTTGATAGCTTTTACTGGATCATAAAGCAAAAATGTGTCCGGCACTTTATATTAAATATAATAATCACTATTTCTAAATTAAATGTCCATTGAACAAATAGTACACATTAGAAAAAGGTTGTCGCTCGAATTCCGTGAAGTAAAGGATTTCATACGAAACGCAGTTAAATATTTTATCCGTACCTAGTAGAATTTTCATGTTAAACACGGCTTGGAAACTTCTTTTTTACCTTATTTCTCATCATTTGGGCAGCACAGTGGCAACTCACTATATTGGCATTCCGATGAAGCAATTCATCTGAAATCTAAGGGTACAAAATAGACCTGCTGTTGGAATGAAACTTTTAACCATCGAACACCCAGCACACATATAGTGGCACCACGGCATTATGTCTTACTTTTTGAAGGTTTAATTCTCAAAGTCGAAGCTTCTTGAGTCCTTTTTCTATAAAGAATCAACACAGACGTACATATACGATACAAACAGTTTTCGATAAGTTTGCATCATAAAATATTACACATAACAAATACATTTTATTTTATTTTTGAATCCTAATCGCCATAAGCATCTATGTTAGAGAAGAATAAATATTTTTATTTAAAAGAAAAACGTTTTAAGAAGCTTGCAGTCAAATGACCCTACGATAACAGGGTATTTTTGCTAAACTGTATACCAACCTTCCAAGCGTAAACGGAATTTTGCAACTGCTCTAGCCATTTTGCTGCCTGTTCTTGCTGATATGTGTCTTTTGCCTCATTCAGAGTTTGGATGGCGGCCAAGGCCACTTCACAGCGCGGTTCGGTCTCCATTATATGCGCATGTGATCGCTCTGTTACACTCGTCGCAAATTTCAGAAATACAGAAAATTAGATGACTTCTCGAAAACCGCAAAGCCTGCACCACATGCATACACTGCATAGTACAGGATCGAAAAACACATTGAAACAGAACACGACTGTCTGAGTCAGTTTACAAGTTAAGTTAGTCTAATCTATGTCGAGCTGATACTCAGATTCTAGCGGAACGAAAAATCAGGACACGCGCGATTACGTGTAGACCATTAGGAACTTCTATTTTCTTAGATCATTTCCACTTTGCCTGAAACTATGGCCTGGTAAATTTCATTTGTCTACAGTTTGATTTGATTAAAATTGGTTACTTCGAAAATGTGGTAACTGTCGCAAACTTACACGGAGTTAAGGAAGCATTTATTTTAGCTTCAAAACATCCCGCATTAAGGCATATTTAGTCTCGAACATAATCATTGAGTACAACTTAGCGCATTCGAACCCCTCTATTGAGTAGGGCGCGAGAATATATGCAGATAATTTCACAAGGGTATAGAGAGCAAATTCCGCCTTCTATCGATATTCAAAAACCGGCATAAAGAATGTGACTGACAGTTCGGCGGAACTCTAGAACCGTCTATTACAAGCCATAAAATAATAATTATGGAGCAATGCTTGGAAAAACTAACTATTCTAACTATCTACCTCTATTTATTATTACAAAAATAAGTGACGATCTCCAAGGACAGTCTCGTTGTTTGATCGTTAAGATCTATAGAGAATGAATAATAATCCACTTACTTTTTTTTACTATCGGCACCTAAAGCTCATGCCCACTGCGTGACTTCCACTCGAAAGCCGACCTTGTTCGAAATAATTTTGTATATAGCAATGAAGCACCTTATTGATGACATGTATACATGCTAACAAGAGGTGCAGCTCAAGCACTGTACATTGAAAAAGTATCACCTTGTTTTACCCCACGTAATTTAATACTACACATGGTAGTCACTAAGATAGTCACTAACCGCTCTTCTATATAGTCAACGAGTGTTTGTGAGCAATGCTAATGAGTCACAAAGAGCCATTAAAATGCAGATCTGTCTGAATCACTCTTTTTGTAAGCAAGTGGAACTCTTCTAAGATCAGCAAATGTTAGGTACGGACTCGTCATCTGGTAATCGTACAATTAACAGCACAATTCCTGCTGAAACAACGGTACAGCCTCAGGCACAGTTTCCATCACTGCCACTGCTACACAATGCTAATGTTTTTATTATGTTGCGGTCTCGAACAATCCGACATGCGTCCGCTATTTAAGGATCCGCTCTTTTTGGCGTCAATCAACTTTTCGAAACGAAAACATTTTCCTCGCTGGAAACAGTCTGGCAGCCAAAACAGACAAATAGATTATTTCCCTCAGACTGCAAGTTCAATCTAAAAACATGCGAGAGAGCTGTGGAAGAGCAACATTATTAAAAGCTGTAATTAAAAAAAGTATTGCAAATAAACAGTGCGTTGTAATACAAGGACTCTAAATTTACCCCACTTGAAACGAATATTTGACTTAGGCCCTTCTAATCAAAGATAAATACTTTATTAAATGTTGGTGAAAGTTATCTATACACAAGTTTTTGCTAAAAAAGGCTATAACGAGTTCAACTTGAAGTTCCTGGTAAAAGAACTGCGACATTTTTTTACTGAACAAAATAAGTAGATGTTTTGTTGTAATATTTTGGTTAATGAAAAAAAAAAACAATATGTGCAAAAAGTTAGAAAGAGTGTAGCAGATCAATGTAATAAAGGAGTCGAAATTATCACTTAATATTAGGACTTTTGATATCGGTCGTAATTGCACCAAAGTGATGCTATCTTGCATTATCACTACTTAATCATACTACGTGTTATCGCTTGCTATGTTATTTTCTTTTCAGCCTCTTGAGAAGTTTTTTTAGATTGCATAATATCTTGTAATGTAGCCTTCTAAACTAGCTTTTCAATTATGCAGTTACTCGCTATGGGGCCCTTCTTAATGCCTTTAGCATTAGTGTTGGTCTAGTTATACTCATGGAATCAAAATTGTACTGTGCTTGATGCAAGTGAGTTTAATCATTCTACCAATTTTCTGGGAATTCTAAGTTCGAAGTCCACGCTATCGATTCCGTTAAATTACGTGATGTTTGTTTGAAAGCCAAGTACTCACACTGTTCTTTGCTTTTCGAATTTGATCTGCTAGCATAGTGTATTTTCAGAAATAAATGTTTTTTAAATTCTTATAGGTTTTGTGCTAGTTGCATTGACACAAGGAAAATGTAAGTGTCTTTTGCATTTACTATACGACATATATGGCTATATGAATATTATATTATAACGTGCGTTGATTATGACAGTACACATACAATTACCAGGCGTAGACATGAACAAGTGCAACGTGAACTACATTTCGGCGTTAAATCAGATTCAAGAACTAAAGGCTTAGAAATTGAGTGTAACTAAAAAAGGTTTTGTCATGAAAATATATATTTTATTATCGATTAATGGTTTCCATGTTTTTTCAAATCACTGTTTTGCAAGCTGCAGCTTCATATATATGTATGCATATACATATATGTATATATATACATACGTAACGAGAGATATATATATATATATATCTCGTTATGTATAGTTTATTTTATTTCTTTTCATACTATAACTACTTACCTCAATTTTTAATTTTATTATTTAATCTTTATACACCTATAATGTACTAATTCTTTCGGAGTTATAATACATTATTGTGCTCATTCAGCTATTACTTTCATTACACAGTCTGTAGCAATATTATTCCACATAAAGTGAATATCGTGATTTCTTGGTGATTCTTATAATATCTGATCGAATCTCAATGACCCAAAAAATTAGAAACTGCCACGTCGATCTTATTGTTTCCAATTATTTCCCTTTCATAACGAGATGTTTTACCAATTCTTGCTTCATCTTTACTGACCACACTACACCGTGTTTTCCTGCTCCCAAAATGTTTAATTTATATTCGTCTTATGGTCAAAATATCAGCCAGTAGCTAACTTTTTGTCAGCTGTCAATCGATGTACGCCGCAATTTTGCTTACTGATCGCATACACCTTCAGATTGCTTTTCTTTTTCTTTACTTCATTTTTCTTCTACTGTCTTTACTCTTTGTTAAACTGTCCCTTTTGATACATTTACCTCTCCTTATTTCGGTAGTCTGGTAGAGTATCGAAACAGAAAGCGCTACTGTATCGCATTATGAATATGCGGATTTTGCATTATTTACTCGTCCTTGCAAAACTATACTTTTTTATCTAGCGGACTGTATGTCGATGTACGTTTACATTATATTATATTGCTAGTACTAGTTAGTAATTTTCGTTAGTACTAGTTCGATTTTATGGGTGTGAGCTTTGAGTTAATTTTACGTGTTGGCAACGTGTGCAAACGTATGCTTGATTTTTTCGGAAAGTGCAGTTGGCTCGATCGCGAAGTCCGTCCTGTTAGTGCTATGTATCAAATTATCAGAACAAATCATTAGATACATGTTTACTACTTTGCCCGTATTTTTCAAGTTTCCATGTTTCCATTGCTGATAGAATTGCATTTAACGAGCGTGTATATAAATAAAGTGTGCTATGGCATTTATGTAGTTTCAGGCGGGTTCACTTGAATTTAAGAGAAGAATATTTCAATATCTAATGGCACACCAATAAGAGCTATAATGGATATTGTGAGCGTTTCTTAGAGTTTTGTATTTTTCTCTACCATAAACGGGCATTATTAGTTTTGAACAATGTTGAACCGGTTCGTTTGATATACGTTTTACACAGGCGATAAAAAACAAAACGCGTTCTAGGATAGTTGAGAAAAAACATTCAGTGAGAGCACAGACAAACAAGTCACTGATATTTACCATAAACTGTCTCGCGCGCAAAGAGGCGTTATTAATAACGTTGTGGACCACATAAAGCACGATCTATGACTTATAATAATAGTACAGCAGGGTAATCAAGTTGGAATTGTTCCGAATACGGAGAAATTTTAATTTACGCGCCCTTTCGTTTACTACGTTGGCCAAGCCTTTTTAAGTAATCGAAAGGTTTTATGACCAGAACGAATATATATACAAAGCCACAAACAAATTAGGAAGTACTGAATAAATTGAAAAAACTACAGATCTCAATATCAATTTTTCGTTTCTCTGATTCAGGCAAAGTTCCAAAGCTAAAAGGGCAATCAGTGCCATTACATAAAATTACCTGGTATCATACTGAGATAAAAGCAATAATGAATGATGTCGTGGCTACAGACAATTTTCGTTTTGATTAACGGCTGTTCTCCTCTCAAGAGTCCTTACATTTGGCCTTGTCAAACTTGGAGGTTCTGCTGCAAATTCTCGCGTCCTGCAAGTCTAAATTACCATTTCTAAAACGCAAACCATTTTCAAAGAATCTCACGATCGATTATACCCTTTTCGTGTAGAGCATAAAATGTTCGCGGGCTTTGTGCTGTCTCGCTTTTTGCTCCGGTAGAAAGTATTAACAAGATGGTGTCAAAATGCACTTTTTTTGTGATAACCGGGATATCTATCTCTCAAGACTTGCTATGCTACGTGCTTCATGTTCGAACAAAACAGATGGGGACCCTTTTTTGCATCAACACAGCGCATATGTTAGGGTCATGGGCCAAAAAGCGATGGTACCAGATGCATTATTGTAATGTGATTTCGTAACTATAGTAAATTAACCCATCACACCGCAAAAATTATGAAGCGAATTACTAGAACAATAACAGACGATTGTTCCTGGATTTACTCCAATAATAAAATCCAATAAAGGCTCTACTGCACTGTAATGGCCAAAGATAGAGACGTATTTATGAACTGATGCAATTACGCAATGCATAAAGGTTTTCCCTTTTAACGCAAGCTCATAATCATCTAGAAAAAAAAAAAGAGAGAGGACGTAAACATTTTCACCGTAGGCACACTAAACTATTTAGTCTTTGGTCATTATGTTCAATTGGTATGTTACGTGCAAGTAAGGCGTTGCTGGAAGTATTTCAGCACTTCAGGACGGCATATTTCCGCAGATTTTAATAGGACTGTGAAGAATTTTATTGACCAAATACCATGCAGTTTATTTTATCTACACGAAAACTGACTGGCAAAGCTCGCCTCGTAGAAAGCAACAAAAGGTATGCGGAAAGAATGCACGCAGTATTCTATAATGCCGTATTGCTTTACTGAAATGGAGAGCTATACCAAAAACGATGGAACTAATTCAATAGCCAAACGATTTTACTTGAAGGCCTCTGTTTTTCGAATTTTACGTGTCGCTGTCAGGCATTTATCAGACAGCGTGCTCCCAGCACGAAACAACGAAGTGTGTCTATGCGCGAGCTCGAACTTAGACTACCGTTGAAGGGCTATAAATACGACTAATTCAGCTAAAATTCCTGTTAACACAAAAAAAAACATTTCGATTGACAACATAATATATAAATGATTTTTAGAGGAGGGGAAGAACGGATCATGGAATATAAAACAAAAGCGAAATTAAAAACGACATTCACAACTCGACAGCACATTTCAAATATCAAATAGACCCATGGTGGCGCCTGGTACAAACACTTATAGCACCCACCATTTTACGGTGGCATCTTACGAAGAAGAATAAAACAGGTATGACATCGAGACTTAAATGAAGCTAAATACAGAGATACTTAATAAGGCTAGGTACGCTTCATCAAA